TCAGTGTATGAAACACTGTAAAAAAGGGTCAGTGTATGAAACACGGTAAAAAAAGGGTCAGTGTGTGAAACACTGTAAAAAAGAATGACGGAAAGATCAATCGGTGGTAATGAGTAAAGTGAGAGTTGAGAAAGTGATAGGTAATATTTGTATCGCTACATTGGCTAATTACAACAACATCAACCTCAATGCTTCCACGACCTAATCTCAAACGATCTCTTGTAGCTTTATTTATTTGTTATCAATTTATAGGTATTGACACTGAAAAATAACAGATGAATCTTGTGTTAAAAGCTCAATATTATTAAAATACTTTTATGAAAAATGTTTTATTTTGCTCTTGAAGAGGAATAGTTTTCTCTTACAATGTAAAGTTAAAAAGGAAATTTCGCATCTAAGTACATAAATTTTGGAGGGATATCTAACTATATCATATATAAAGCTACAGAAAAACTGATTTGCGCGATCTGTAAAGCTCTGGGAAAATATCGCCATGCTCTATAAAGTAAGGAGGAAACTTTAAATTTTGTTACAATTTAAACTTAAAAGAAAACTGTCGCCTAATACTACATAATGTTAAAGAGACTGTCGCTCCATATGCCTCAGAGTTTAAAGGAGGCAGTAAGATCACAATCGTGAATGTTTAAGAAAAAATGTCAATTCGTTCTCCTTTAAGTTATCGAGAAAATTAACTTTAGTAGTTTTAATAAGGATTGTTTTTCATTTTCATGACTTTTAAAGCAATCGGGAATTCTTCGCTATTCGAACACTTTGTTACTTTTTGTTGAAATTTTGTGGTTGTTTTGGTGCTAATTATATATTCTGTTGGAGAATTGACCAAAATAAATGAATTAATGAGTGAATATTTGAAATTCTGTTATAGTGGCCATCTTTTGAGTTATAGACAATTAGCTGTCATTAATAATATGACTCGACCTGTGTTATCAAATAAATGGTTATACATTTTTAAATTCCAGAAACGAAAGCTTTCCCATTGTAAGTGTTGACGTGACTAAGTTCCCGCGACGAGATCCGGACGTTTGCGCAGGAGGCCAAGGCAGTGGGAGCGACCTATGTTGGTCTGTGTTGTGGAGGAGCTTCAAACACGCTCAGGATCGTGGCAGACGTATTTGGCAAATGCACAAGCACTTCATCTTTGGCGATGAGTCAAAGTTTGATGATTATTACACGAAAGATGCTAAATCTAAAATGGTCGCCAATGCTTGATTTTAAATTAAGACTTTTGTTTAAAATTCCATTCAATTTCAAGAGTAAAAAAGATGATGGAGCGTTGTTTTCATTTCTATTGATTATTTTTGCTTTAGATTTTAGACTTTCTTAGGGGGCATTCTCTTTATTTAGTTGTATGTTGTAAGTAATTGTAAATCAAGACTGGTTTTGAGTTTTGAAACCTTAGGATGAATTAATCTTCCTATAGACGTATAACGCTTTGCGGTTTTTCCTTTCTGTAATTTTGAACTCGACGCAAATAGAATCTGGAGTAGCCTCCCTCAACCGTCACGCGATGCAAGGAAGATCGTTAAATGAGTAGAAGAATGTCTCTCAGTAAAGGACGATTGAATAATTTCCAAATTACCGTTGGAAAGTAACTTTAAGCTTAAATACGAATTACTAATTTCTTGATTGATTTAGTTATTGTAACGGTAAAATTTAAATTGCTTCGTTATAAAACTTTGCTATATATACTGAAAACCTTCTGAAAAACACTCGCTGAACTGAACGAACATAGGGAATAATCGTTTGCAGTATTATAAAAATGATAAACGACAAATAGTCATGCGACAGCTTAAAAATAAGTTCAAGATGTGTGATTCCCATGATGCATACACAATCTAGTTATTCCGGGTGGTATAGCATAGAATACATGCCCAAGACAAACTGAGCTCTAATGCCAAAGAATAGATCACATTGACATACTTCTTGTGTCATAATTTAAATACATTAAAACGCACTTGGAAGTTAGAAAAAATGCATATCTACCATGTTACTTATAGTTTATATTGAATTGCCATTTTTTTATATTTTATGAATAATATCATAATTATGTGATGAATTTATAAATTGGATAAACATATTTTATTCCAGGTTTTTGATTTAAACATATTCTTATCTGCATCTATTAGGCACAAGTTGTCCAACTTATAAAAAGCCTTTTCCCAAAAGCATATTATAATATAAATGTATATACATACAAGATGGCAAATTTAAATTTAAAGACAGAGCCTTTTCCCAATTACATATTATAATATACATATATACAAGATGGCAAGATATTTAATGCGAGATCGTGGTATTGATCTTCTCCGACACACAGACGGCACTAATTGCATTGTCCACTATTCATTACATTTAAGATTAACATGAGTGACGAATAATTAATTACTAACATGAATAATTAACACCCAGAACGTACAATTTCTGAAGAAAAGTGTAGGGTGGAGTTCATGGTGTTGGATGGTAGGGTGGGGGTAGGGGTTAAAAATCTATGGGAATCTAAAAAATATTGATATTGCGGAGTATGTTGAAATATTATTTCTTTTTCTTGTTGGCTTATCAGCTGCAGGTCCAGAGGAACAAAATCATTCCGTTCACGATATATGTTAATGCTTTGTTCTACATAATTATTACAAGCAAAACAGAAATCAATTGTATTTGCACGGAATACATCAGTATTTACGGTACTAGCTCGGTTTCTGAGTCTGGTATGTAAGATATTCATTTTTCGATCGCCAATCAGATAATAATTTGGAACTTGTATATTTTGAAGATTGTGTAACTCTATGTCTCATGTCTAGGTCTAATTGATTACAAAGTCGGATTGTAGAAGGGAAAAAGGATGAGTTTGAAACTTGATGTCGAAAATTAGGTAGAGAATAAGTATGGCCATTACTGAGGTTGTATGGTGAATTTTCTGAAACAAGAGGAGACAATAAAAAAGTAAGATAGGTTGTCATGAAATAAATATGAGTATTCTCTGCTTGAATAAGAGGGTAAACCCGTGATTATGCGTACAGACTCAAGTTCAGTCTGCACGGATAATAATGTGTTTTCCCAAAATCGAATCAATGGTTAAATCGACCTTTTCTTCTACGTGAACTGTGCAGTATTCGCTTTGTACTTGTGAAAATAATTTAAGTTAATACTACGATGTAAATGGCAAACAAAGTTAAATCATTAACATTCATTTTGAAACTAAATTGGATATCTTATGAAAACGTTTATAATCAAAGATAACATTTGAAACCTGTATTAAATACTTAAATAACAAGACCCTTTCTGCATTTTGTGACGGACAGTGCTGATCACTTAGGAATCAAATGTTGTTTTTCTCTCTCTAGTAAACAATATCGTACACAAATGACTCCATATCCTTACCGTGCCTTTTACAATGATACATTACGAATAGTCACGTGTTGGATCGGCATGTTACACTACGATGGTTTTACACCACATACGGAAAGAAATGAAATAATTAATTGAATATTTGTAATATTGTTAATAAGTATGATTTAAATGTACGATTTATAAACATGCAAGGTTTAATGGTCGTATTTGTTTTGTTTAAGGGTTAAAATTACTGAAGTGGATTAAAGTAACCAAAATGCTTACTTTGTTCGTGATTGACTTTCGACAAATTTGAAATATTCTTTGGGTTTTTTGGCAAATAATACACAACCTATTTTGACCCATTCGTGTTAAAAAAAAAATTTGTCGTCAAAACGTCTGATTAATGTCACGTGCTGCTAAGACAACAACCTAAATAGAATTAAAATTTGGTGTTACAGACAAACCTTAGTCTAGATAAGGGTTTTCATAAGACTGTCGACCAGGAGGTAATGCACTAGTATCTAGCCAGGTAAATTGTTAGGTCGTGGATGGAGGACGAGCAGGACCAGACATTGGTTTTCGCCCTTTCCAGATAACGAAGAGGCATAAACTACTGACCTCTTCTGTCGGTCAGTCCGTCTGTATCACATCTTAATAAAGACTTTTGCTCCAATTCTTTGATACCAGATTTTGCACAGCCTTCTAACGTTATATTTGAATACATTGTGGAAAGTAATACTAACATATCAAATGAAAATCACAATGATCTATATTTTCCGTTCATTGACTCTACATCGAGCTCCGTTTCTTTGGTTAGACATTGGGTTTCGTTCCTTTTCTACCAAAGCGGAAGCTGAAAATATGTACTTTTTACGGTCGGACGCAAAACAAACCTTGTACTCCTGAAAGGAACATGATCACTGCACCTCACGTAGCATATCAATTATGTGTGGTTTCATATTCAGGAATTCAAATTCAAATTCAAAGGGTTACTTTCTCTATCGGCTTTGAAAATGTCACGACAAAAGCAACGGAAGCGGTTTGCTATTTGATTGGTTTCCGATTGAAAAATTTGACTAATCTCTAAGCTGAATCTGTCTTTTGAAGATTACAGTGACATTCGACCTAAAAGCTGATTTAATTTACCTTTGAGCTGCCACGCGATTCTTTTGATGTGCATCATAGGATGAAACCCATCTACTTGCATCATCCGTAGGGTGTTGCGTACGTAGTTTTCATGACAAATTCCGATTGCGAAGAGAAGATATGTGTATCGAGAACGAGTTCCTTGACTTTGAAGATGTCAACTATCTTACAGATTATTTTTTGTATAATTATTAAAAACACAGAAGTTCTAATGCTAAAATCAAGTCATTCTGAAGACCGTACAACTCTTCTTCCTAGACGAAACGGGAAGAATCAAAGCTCAAGGAAAACGTTGATACAGCTAAATATTAATACAGAGGAAGTAATACATCCAGTTCAAAATAAATTATGTATGTCAATTAAGTACATGTATCAGGATTTACTTACATTGAATTAACATGATGGACGTACTTACCTTAGGTCGTACAATACACAATCCGCTTTATACCTTTACATGCCTCCATACATGTTTTACATGATGATAAGCAATTCAGTCCGTTTGTGATAGTAGTATCAGTGATCACTTGTGTCGAACAGGTGACATTAACAACAGCGCCAGAACCAAGTATGCCGACAAAGGGTAAGATTAATGCAAAAATGCTAATTTCGAAAGGTCGCAACATAAGTGTTCAATTCCTGTTTGTGTTCAAAACAAACTTAGCGTGTTTAGATAACAAGAATGATATTCTTATATATTAACATTACTCAAATGCTGCTGCTCGTGCTGAAAGTTGTCCTGTTCAGATTAATCAGGTGATAACCCATCTGTACTTTGCGNTTTTGTATATCACATGACTAATCTACAGCCTGCTATATTATATATGTGTTATTCATATACATAGTCTATATGTGGAAAGTTACATACTGTTGACCAATTAGATACTGCCGGAGAAACATAAGTATTATTTTTCAGCCATGCCGAACATATTTCAATGTCGCCATCAACTTCCGGTTATGAGATTTTAACGTCTGCCATGTCTAAGGACATGTTAACAACTATGCCTTAGCTGGTTGATGACCTATACAAGCTTTCTGTATTTGACGCAAGGACTGTTATCAGTTGTGGTATAAAGATTGTTATCCTTCTGGAATACTTATTTGTTCCTCCAAAGTTTGTCAAGTTTGTTTGTATCTTTATTAATACATTCTTTATGCTGTCTTCTTTTCATGGTCTGTTCGTTTTATGTTATATTATGAAATGGTCATGTTTGTTGACGAAGTGGTATATGTATATAGTTCCAAAGCCTTAAGCGACCTTGAGTGTCATACACAGGTGACAAATCAGCCATGTGGAGTCTACTAGAGTGTGGTCAGTTTAAGACACTTATTTATTTGTAGTGACCCAGGAAATACAACACGCCTCTTTCCCTAAACTGTTTAGCGAACATGCTGGGAATAAGACATAAATAAAACAAAATCCGTTAATTGTATATAAAAATGATTTGGGAGGGTTCATCTGTACTCATATCCCTCCAGGTAGAGCAAGAGTCTTCACATGATTTTGAAGTTTCAATTGAAACAATACTTTTCACCAGTGATATGACATACCAAGCATATGAACTGGCAGCTGTTTGGGATTTTTTCAGGATGTGACATTACATGATTTGACTTAGATTTTCATGACGGGTGTCTTCGATGAAGCAGACGGCGCTTACTCTTCCAGAAGAATAGCTGTTCTTATTTCCTGTTACTTTTCGAGAGTCTCCACGTAAATATTTCCTTTGTCCTTTTTTGCTCAATTTTGAGCTCGATTTGTGGTTCATTAACACGTCAGTGTTTTCTTGTCATTTTCTGTTTTCATATTTTATAACTTTTGATTATTTTGCTTTGTACCCATTTGTCATTGTTTCTCATATTAAATAATGTAAGTTCATTATTAGAGGACTTCGAATTTTTTAAAGTAGTTTTACAGTTTCGCTGATTATATTAACTCAGGGAAAACAGAACCCTAGTTTCTTATAACCCGAGACCATACATGTGGAATGAAACACTTTTCCTTGTATAATCGTTCTCATAGATGACATCCATTCTAAAAAGATCACAGCGTTAAGGGCAATCGATCTTAATTATTATTACCAGAGAGGTTTATGAAAAAAAAATACAATACTATTCCCATTTAAATTTGTCGGCTTTCAACTGATGTCAAAAAATGCATAAATCGGAAGATTTGTTATTGACGAAGTAAAAACAAATTCGTTGCATTTCTCTTAGTCCCAAGGTGAAGACTCCGCTGAAGACGAAGTGATACATCTGTTCGCAACGATATTCCTCGTTTTTGTCTATTGGATATTTATTATGCTGTTTCCAACAGCCTGTGATATTTTTTTTATGTTTCCCTTTCCTAAAAGTGTGATCGATGTTTACTTCGCTATCGTAAGGTCGCAATTACATTGACGTGAAACTTGTCACTGACATTGAGTAATGCGCGTGGTAAGAAGTAAACAAGAAAAGACCGTAATTGTTATTCAAAATCAATGAATATTTGGCAAACTATGAACGAAAGAAAGAAGGAGAACCTTTAAAAGAACGAAAGGAGAACAGGACCAGGTGTATCGGGAGGGTTAGCGTCTTTTGCGCCATTGACGATTTCCTGTTTGTAAATGTCGGTTAACTACAAGGAATGTCAGGTTTTCAATGATTTCTAAACTAAACCACAAGACACACTAAGTAAGCATGTTTTTTTCCCATTTAAAACGCGCATCATGTAAATCTAGCTCAAATCATAGAAATGTCACGTTCTCAAACAAGGCACTGGGGGATTGTTAATGAAACTCCAAAACACAGTTCGGCGCTTTTCGTTAATTTGAAAGTATTCTTCATGAATGAGTGTGCCCGGTTTTCTTTATCTTCGAAAAAAATGTTATTAATGTGGTTCTCTGGTACAACTCAATTAATGTAACTAGGAACGATACCACTGGTGAATAGTAACTACGGACATCAGACATGGCGATCCACTTGTAAAACACGATATTAAAAGTCGTAAAAACAAATCACTAAATTCATATGATTTTGATGTAAAGGTAATTAAAGATAAACCGTGACACGCAAGCGTGACATTTTGAAGGCATAATGTGAGAAGAAGATTTGTACGACCATCAAAAATGTTTGAAATAAAATCAGTCCATTACCGATTGTTGTCGATGAGGTATGGACATTTTATTTTTGTCATATACATTCTTCTTCTCTTATTATCAAATGATATCGTTTAGGCCGTACATTTTTATTTTTGAGACATACCGACCCAACTTCGTTATGATACAAATCCTAATGTCGGCGCCAAAAGAATTCATTTTACATTTTGTCCGATTGCTCCTCAGGACTTCAATAGAGTTCAGTGTAAATAATGATGATCTTTTTACATTTGTTTTATTTAAAAATAAATAGGATCTCCAGATAATTAATTTACACGGTTTCAATAAAGTGACATACGCGGTACAGCCTGCATTGACAATTGAGATGTAACTTAACGGTAATGTGATGTAAATAATCGATAGGACCAGACATAGCACGCACGTGGATGAAGTGTCCGATTCAGGAATGGATAAAGTTACTTATTTCAGAGAGAAATTCATACAGATAACAAACAGAAAGTTGACCGACCACGATTTTCAGATGGGTTACTATGATATAGTTCGTCATATTGTTTTCTTTGACATGGCCATTCAGCTTATGTGTAGCTAAACCAACATTCAATACGACATGTATTTTTTTTCTCCAGAAAATGTAATTGCCAAATTTGCCGGAAATCTTGCCGGTAGATCAATTATTGGCGTCTTGCCATGTAAATCATGGTGATTGGGTCAATTTCTGTTTCTCTTCGAGTCAGAAAAAAAAGATTAAAAAACGAATAACAAAAAACTAAATTCATTTTACAACAATGATGACACAAGTAAATTCAGCTTATATGAATCACTCTTGTCGGCACGGATGTAAGTAAGTGGGGCTCTTAATGTTTAGGAAACCGAAGTGCCCAGAGCAAACCCGCTTGGTCGGTCAACCCAATGCAATTTCCCGTCCGATCGACTAATCGAACCTCGCCTGTCGTAGTGAAAAGCAAGTGCACTATCTACTGTGCCAGCCGACACTCCAAAATGAATATGAACACTGGTATATTTTGAACGAGAGGAGGTTATTGATAAAAAAATATAACAATATTTTCTATATATATATCAATCCAAAACGGATTCCATAAAATGCTTTAAAACATTTTCAAACTATTAGTTTCATATCAGTTTGAAATAATTTGTCTTTTTTCATTAAATATGCGTTAGAGTGATATCATTTTACGAAAATGAGTTTTTCATTCCTCCTACGACTGCAAACATATATATCAAAAGACACAATTTTTCTGAGTTAATGCATTGCTTTTTAAGTCAAACACATATTTTTGGACGTTGCAAAGTGTGTATCTGGTAGACGTATGTTTCGGATTTAACAAACAAAAAGAAGAAAAAAGAAGGAAAATCTAATTTGAACCTTACAAATACCTCTCGATTCTTTCGAAATACCGGAGCACAGACGTTGGTTCTCCTTTGCTTAGTATTTTTTAAACTGATTTGTGTGAGGCGACTGCCTCAAAATTGTTAATGATTTAGGATTAGCCCATTAAAAATAAAAAGCATAGGGTGTTTGTCATAATCAAATATTGCCCGATGTTCATTGTTTTATAGTTGAAACTAAAATGTTTTTGTTATAAGTTTTGTATAAACTTGAAGGCGTTTTTATTAAGTATCCTTGATTCAGATCAGAAACAAGATATATGCCTAGTTGCACTGTGACCGTATTCGCTTATTGAAATGACCCCCCCCCCCCACACACACACACATACGTACACAAAAATAAATAAAAAAATACGCTATCTTTGGGTTCAAAAGGCATGATGTGCGTCATGTATAAGATAACGTTTATCAAATTCTGTGGCAGCTTGACCGTGTGAAATCTTTCGTCAAAACTTTAAGAGTGAGCAATCGAATTTAATGTGAATAAGGTTAATAAAATGCAATAAAGGCTTCAGTCTCCTTTCAAATTGTCTACTTCCAATCGATTGCAAAAAATGCAAAGCTCAAGAAAGGTCGACTCCCATGATAAAATTCAGCTTAATCCGTCACACTCATCCAGACTCGACATAAACCACTCCGCCCTGTTTCAAGGGAAGGTCCTCCTAGATGGTTAAGGGGGAAGGCTACCACTGATCATTTTTTTCTTTCAATCAAAATGGATTCGAAGGAGCATGCAAACCAATAAAACACAACACTTTCTCTATCTCTTTTCAAACTATGGTATCTAGATAGTATTGCCCTTAGTCTTTGACAAATAAAAACCTTCATTTATGCTATTTCTGCATTATTTTATCGAAACAGACTGGTCTAAAATTTGCATACACAATCACATTTTAGGCCTTAAGATTAGCGCATCTTTCCAAGATATTTCAACAACCTTTTATATATTTCAATGTTATGATTTTGAGTCCGATGAAGAGGATCGGGAAATAAACTTAACTTAATTTTGTATCATGTAAGGATTAAAACAGCCTCGTTACAGATCGTGACATCACACAAGGGGAGATAATAACTTCAAGCGTTACATATTAGTGTTTTGTTATGTCTTTTTTTCTATCTATTACTATAAAATTGGGATAAACATAACGTTCCTAGGATTATAATTGATATAAATATTCACGGTTTAAGATCACTAACCTGCGCAGAAAATCCTTTGAAAATCAACTAATAGTTCTATAATTTATCTTATGCACTGACATCATTTAATTTTATTTGGACTTATACAAACATGTGTTATCTTAGTGTTCATAAATACGTTGAATATGTTGATAACTTCGATCCTTTGGAAATGTTTCTACAATACTGCTAGAAAGTTTGCCTATAGAACATTATTGCGGGCAGACAAATCAAACCAGCATGTAAGATTGACTTCGACAGGAAATCAACGTTTACTTTAACACTACGCTATTCCAATCGAAATAGATAAAGGGAGTTAAGCTGATCAGACCTCAAGGACAGTGATAGATATAGGGAGTTAAGCTGATCAGAACTCAAGGGCAGTCATATATATATAGGGGGTTAAGCTGATTAGAACTCAAGGACAGTCATAGATATAGGGGGTCAAGCTGACCAGAACTCAAGGACAGTCATATATATAGGGGGTTAAGCTGATCAGAACTCAAGGACAGTCATAGATATAGGGGGTTAAGCTGATCAGAACTCAAGGACAGTCATGTTACCCAATGACATGCATGCGCACTTTGATCTCTCCGAAAACGCTAACGCTTGGCTTACTTTAATAAGCTTCCAACACTAGGTTGATCTTCTTCTATCAATCTAGGTCAAGAACATTAGAGGTATCTTTTTTCCTTTTACACAAATGTAACGTTAATGAGCTGCCAACATAAGGTTAATCTGCTGAGAACGGTTGTTACTTTGGTTTGTTTGTTTGCGTTTTACGACCTATTAACAGCTATGGCAATTTAAAGACGTGCAAGGTTTTGGTGTTAGAGGACAGCCGGAGTTCCCGGAGAAAAAACACCTACCTACGGCCGGTACCTAGCGACTACCTCACGTAGGCCTCGAACCCGCGACCCAGTAGTGAAAGGCGTGTGATAGCAGAATGTCGGACGTCTTAACCACTTGGCTACTGCGGCCCCTGGTACTGCTATGACAACAACACTAGATGTGTCTTCTTTTCTATGACACTATGATCATAATCATTAACTGCCAACCTAAGGTTTATCTTCTATGAAACTATGGTCAACTAAATAGGTCAATAGCATAATCCTTTTACACAGTGATTATGTATGGTTGCATGAACCAAGTACATGTAGCTAGAATTTATTTTTGGCTTTTATGAATTCATCAATCAAATATTAAAATATATCTGGGTTCCAAAACGTTTAATGTTGTAATAGATCGATACCATGCTACAATATCGGTATATCCTGATTAAGTTGATGAGATCAGTCTGCAATGCGGGTAAATCAAGTATACATTAAGATCAGTCCACTATGTCAGGAAAAGTAGTTTACTATGAGATCAGTCTGCACGCTATATTTAATTGAACAATTTTCTGTAAAAATGACACTTCATCGTGATGAACTAACAACATGCGCTCATATTTTTATTTTAAAATGACCCCGAACTATTCTCAGTGCCGAACGAATAAAAATATGAACCAAAACGTCAGCCATTAAAACAATTGTTTATTATCAAACAGGTAGTAAACCCTTAATGGAGATTTTGAAAATCAGATCCGACTTCTTTTCACTGTACTTGTCATAACTCCTCAGCAACGTCGTTGATATTTCCACTCGTTCGAGACAAGGTATCGCGAAACAAGTTAAATAGTTAAAAAAGGAAAAAGAATTTTACATTTTCACTAGACAGTCATTGGCATAACAAATGTGTTTGAATACGCTATAAACTACAAACATATAGCGTCAGCTTTCGTTCTACTTCAACATTTCGATAAAAAACGTGCTTTTTCAAACTCAATAAGTTAAAACACATTTTAAAAACATAATCCAACTGTAATTTCTTTAAAGAACTTAGAGGCTTTATACGACAAAATTTAGGCGGCTAATTGGATGCTTCACTTAGATCCAAAAATGTATTTAGAACGTTCACTTCCTTAATTACAAAGATACATAGAGAAAAGAGCTGTCAATGATGTGAAACGGGGTACTCCATTACATTTATATTTTGAAAGGTTGTATCTAAAAATATAATCCGTAGCTGAAATACGAAACTATGTATGACTAACAAAGGTCGATGGAACACATCTTAAGCTTGCATTGCTATGTCTTACTAATGATTCCAGAATCGTGTGAATAGTAGATAAATATTCAAATAATCTTTTCTATAGGTCTGTTGGAGCGTCTTAGAGATGGCGAGAGCGTGGTGGTGGCGGAGGGATACATATTTGAATTTGAAAGAAGAGGATATCTCACAGCAGGAAGTTTTGTACCGGAAGTTATTATCGAACATCCAGAGCTCGTGAAGAGTCTACACGAAGAATTTGTTCATGCAGGAAGTGATGTTGTCCTGGCGTTTACAGTACGTGGTTTTATATCATTAATTTCTTCCACAAGTTGACTCTCTCAGGCGTGTAATTATGTTTGTTACCTACATGTAAAAACAGTAGAAAATCAAAAATGGTGTGTCGTAAATAAAGCAGACATGCGATTTGTTTAGGTTTTTTCCGACTCAACGTTCCTTGACTGTTTCCTGTTTTACAGGAAAAAGGTTATACACGAAAGAATACTTATTTTTATTTTCACAAATTTTGTTTCGAAGGCGCTTGCTTAGAAAGAGCGTGTCCATGTCATTACTTATAATTATAGTTACGATGTTAATGTTTTCCTTCACAACATTTCCGGGAATAACTCCCATAAAAGTAAAAAACCTTCAGCTGTCTTAGGATCAGGAAATAACACCAACTAATCAAGGAGAAGTAACATGAATAAATGTCTATGCCCGTATACAGTGAAAAACAATAATCCGCCATTTTCTGTTCTATTCTCACATACGTACTATGCCCTTTTCAGTATTGTTATATTACAATATTCTCAAACACAGACAAGTTTAAAATTTAAAATCAATTTTGGTGGCCCTTCATGAACATGAGAAAGGTAATATTCATATATAAAATATTGTGTTATAGTACTATGCTCACCGAGAAAAGCTCCGCCTGATAGGTCGAGAAAACGATTTGGAAAGAATGAACATGGAGGCACTCAGAATTGCCCGCGAAGTCGCAGACGACACTGGTACATTGATGGCAGGGAACATATGCAACTCTACGATATACAAGAAAGGCGACGATGCATCTACCGCAGAAGTCAAGGCGATGTTTAAGGTATAGTGTTAAATAATTGCAGATCATATGATGAAAAGTGCATTTTCACGAAAAAAAAGCATTTGATGAAGGTGCTGACAATAAGTATTTGATTTATGAATAAGTACTACAGTAGATACAGCCTTACATAAATCTTTGCTTGTGAACATTGATTAATTTGTTGATTTCTGTTTAAATTTATTTTGAAATGAATTAGCGTCGACACAGTTTAAATAAGATATCCGTCTTTTGTCATTATTTATGGTCAATGGTTTGGCTGTGTGTGAAAAACAGTCTGGAATTTGGGACGGGTTATGTTTTATTGTAAAGACGGATAAATGATTCTTAGAATGGATCCTTATTCGAAAATCTTCGACAGCCTCATCTTTGTTGATATGAAAATATTGTTATTGTGAAGGGTCTCAACAATATCCAAGGCTAACGTTCTTTGGACAAGGGATTTAATGCGAAAACGGACGATCTGTCCTTGGCATCACAGACGCCAATTGACATTATTGTAATTGAACAATACCCTTGTCGACATACAAACTAAATGGAAATTTGTTAATGGTATCGTAGCTAGTGATGAATGGGCGTGTAGTGACTCCTTTACAGGATTTGACCTAGTTATAATTCCGGTTTGTAGGAACAAGTGGAGTGGGCGGTGAAGGGCGGCGCCGATTTTATCGTCGGGGAGACGTTTGGAGAATACGGGGAGGCAGCTCTCGCTCTGGAAGCCATTAAGAAACATGGAAACGGTAAGTAGTGATGATCTACAAGGAATATTTATAAGATGAAATGAGTAATAGAGCAGGGAGACAAGAAAATGAAATGTAAGTAAAAAAGGAACCCATTAAAGCTGTTCATTATTTTTTAATATACCACAGAGCCTCGATAATTTAGTAATCGTTGTTCAAAATAGATATTTGCGAATTTGGTGTTAACTGTCACTTACTCCTTGCATCAAATTTATCAAGATGATTTTCAACCGTGAGCTGACTTTGTTAACATAGACATATATCTTAAAAACATCGGATTTCCATCCGAAATCTCTAGTTACCCATTTGTGAGCACTTCAAATACGAATTGATTTATACTAACACTCTGTGGACTTCAACCTACAGTAAATAAAACAAAAGGCAGACTCATTTACTTTCAAGGTGGTTTTTTTTTCGAAAAAATACAGCGGTCAGAATTTTGAAAAACATATGAAAGATTGGGAACATAAATCTGAAATTATAAAACTGACTTCAAAAAATCATAAAACAAAGAAAATGAAATGGCATAACACGATTGTAAATCAGTAAAAGAGTGAATGAAATTGATAAACCCAGTATGTTTATTGCCGCCAAGGTCTACCTGCTGTGATCACTTTACAACCTACCATCTGTATGGATACCCAGGATGGCATAAATATCGGGGAGGCGTGTCGTATGTTGGAGGAGGGTGGTGCCGACGTGGTGGGCCTCAACTGTGGGCGTGGCCCTGTCACCATCATCGAGACGCTTAAGTGTGTAAGAAGGGCTTGTAAGGTATGTGGTATCGCTATTCCAGACAGAGAAGGTTTATTAGTGTCCGAAACCTCAATTTAGAACTTAATGTCCCATAGCAGATAAAAGGTAGTTTGTGAGCATTTGGCTTATTCATTAGTCTCAACATAGCAATTATTGGTACTTTTATGATAGCAATGCATTATCGCAAAAAAAAAAAAAAAATTTTTTTTTTATCGACACAAAAGGTCTTTGCTAAAAGTTATCTTAACAAAAAATGTTGAATGATACAGAATTATCCCCGATAGGGCCTCTTGTTTGCATACTGGTACTCTATTTTTAATTATACACAATTATCCCCGACAGGGACCTCTTGCTTGCCTACTGGTACTCTTTTTTTAATCATACACAATTATCCCCGACAGGGACCTCTTGCTTGCCAACTGGTACTCTATTTAACTGGTATTCTGAATTCTCAACATCAATAATGCTTGAAGTATGACAAATGAAGAATACACGAAAACACATTTCAGCGGGCTGAAACATTTTGCAATTTGTCTGACATCTTGATTTTGAAATTGGAATCATGCAATAATATAATGCATGACAAGTAACGTTTGGCTATTGTTACATTTCGTGAGGTGGTTACTATGTGTTCTTTAAGATCAGCAAAGAATCAGTGTGATGCCATCTGCGATAATTATCTCTTCGAACCAAGGTATCTAGCAACAATTAACTGTTCATTAGATGAAGTAGTAATAATCAGCGAGAACGAATGGGTTCGTTTGATATATTTGTGTCATTTTATCACCAACTTGCCCGATTATTATACACATAAGACCTATTCCTTACACCATACACAATAGACAAAATAACGACCACAGATTCATCTTCACTGTAATGGAAGATCGGTGTTCCTTAAGATTCAAATTTTTTTTCTTAGTCTGACAAGTCGTTTCGTTCAAATAGATTTATTTTGCAGAAAGAGGAAATACTGAAACAGGCTTTTGACATGTGATTAATTTTAATATTCCAAAGGAAGTTACAAAAATTGGACCTAACTAATGTCATACTTTTACCGAATATTAAAATCAGACTTTATGTTGCAGCATGATCAGTTTTCATTACAGAGTGCTTGTGTAGAAATTTAATCCAAAGCTGAAATTGATATGTTTCGGAAGCCTGTACGGCTAGCATATTTCAATACGGGGTTGCGCTGGAGCAGCATATCAGGACTAATACAAGCAAGGCTACATTGATTTATTGCAAGCATATACACTACAAATCATCCAGGAATTCATCCCCAAACTCTCTAGTACCATTCTTTATAGATTGTTATTGTAGCGGGTAGTGACACTGGTCACATTCATTTTGTAAACTGTTGTATCTTGCGTCTAGCTGAAAATTATTAACTCTTAAAGGAATACCGTCGAATTTTCTATGTGTAATTTTAAATGAAAATATTGTCTCTTACAAAATTCTATTCTACTCTTTCTTGTCAAACATAGAAAAGGCAACCTGGAACATTAACTTAGGAGGGGGTATAGTCTTATTACCAATTGAGTAAAAAGACGAATTGTCACTTCATGCTACATGAAATTAAAGGGGAAAGGTCGTCTCATTTCTCTTGCTCTATAAACTTCAAGGAACTGTTGGCTCTTTTCCCTATCTTAAAGCTAAAGGGATATTTTGGATCTTGTGCCATAAACAAATCTTTGTTCAGGTAAAGAGGAAATGCCGACTCTTGCACCATCAAGTTAAAGAGACAAAAATGTCAAATATTGATACATAAACGTCAAAGGAAAGTGATGACTCTTTCTCTTTAAACCTTTAAGGAAACTGTCGATTATTAACTACTTAAGATCAAATACGAATTAGTGTCGTTTAGCTCCAGAACATGAAAGGGAATTCTTTACTCTTTCTCAAAAACCAATACAGTACCTCTGTGACGATATGTACCTGTTAAAGTAAATACAATGGAACAATGGTAGATGATATTTCTTACTTTTATTTCCCTTACATATACATCTACACAGGTATGTATGTGTGTTACAATAAACAGTGGGCCAACGCATCTACCATCTGATCAATCTAATTAAGCCCATTGTAGAAATCTGGATGCTTGCAATTTCTGCAAAATGAAATATTGAAACTTGATGATATACATAAATACTAGTAATAATACCAAGGATAAGGAAACGATTCATTGGAAATTGGCATATATAAAGGATATTTAACTGGTCATTAAATCTAGATAAAAGCAATTCCATTGGCCAGCGACTAAAGTAAATACATCTTGTGCTATCAATATGTGAATATATATTTGCCAGGACGCTCTGGACTAATTTTAGTTTCATCGAACATTCTTTTTTATTTTCCAAATAATCGCTGGCCTGATCAGTAGGTGTTGTATGCTTTCTTGGTTTACCGTAAATCAGCCTAAAATCCTCTACAACATGTACACCGTAAAGACCGTTTCCGGCGGAGCATGGCCTCTACAACATGTACATCGTGAAGACCGTTGCCGGCGGAGCATGGCCTCTACAACATGTACATCGTGAAGACCGTTGCCGGCGGAGCATGGCCTCTACAACATGTACATCGTGAAGACCATTTCCGGCGGCGCATGGCCTCTACAACATGTAGAGCGTGAAGACCGTTTCCGGCGGAGCATAGCCTCTACAACATGTACAGCGTGAAGACCGTTTCCGGCGGAGCATGGCCTCTACAACATGTGCATCGTGAAGACCGTTTCCGGCGGAGCATAATCTCTACAACATGTACATCGTGAAGACCATTTCCGGCGGAGCATGGCCTCTACAACATGTAGAGCGTGAAGACCGTTTCCGGCGGAGCATGACCTCTACAACATGTA